CTGCCCTTTCCTGATTGATTTTTAGGAGTTTATTTCTTATTCTGAATATGAGTCTTTTGTCAGACCTAGTATCTTGCTGACTCAGGGAAAACCTCAGTTTGTTATGCTGTAAAACTAAGAAAAAAATATAGTGGATGTAAAGAGTATTAAATTAGATAAAAGAAGTCACCCTTGTTATAAACTTTAGAGTGCTACACAAATATGAATTTATATTATGCAGCTATTTTCTCTGCAAACAAGAATTTAGAAATGGTGGTGGTTAGGTCTATTGTTATGTGTTTGCTTTTTTTTCTTAGCATCTACACAAAGGAAAAAAAAATAATGTGATGGGAGCTCTGTAAAATCACATTGAATGATGTTACTCAGTAATTCACAAAAGAAAAATTGCTGCAGAAATGCAAGATAGCACATTACGCATTACCACGACAGTTGGATTCTGAACCATATACACGATTATTCAGAGAGATTGATTTTAAAAAGCACAATCACTTAAAGTGTGCTCTCAACTGAAGGGCTCAGATTGGAAAAGAATGAAGGGAGTTAGGCGTGTTGACTTGAGGGTGCCTTGCCACACCGGCCTTCTGGGATTATGTGGGCTGGGGACCCTGTCTCCTCCTGTCTTCATCTGAGAGGGAGAAGGGAGTGTAGATCTTGCAGGAGAGCCATGTGTGTGAGTAGCCATGTGGCGACAGCCACTGGCACTGAGTGACATTGCACAGATTGCAGCATGCTCCTCCTCTTCCCACCTGCTGTAGCAGACAGGGCAGCTGTTTGCATCCCTATTTCGGAGGAGAGAACATTGAAATGCACAGAAGCCAATTGCCTGATGAGTCGGGAGCCCCAGGGTCTTTTGCCTGTGTGGACTCTGCTCCTCCATGCCCTCCTGCCCAGTTGGGGAGGGCAGGAATAGCCAGGGGGCAGCCTGAGGATCTGGAATTGCTGAAGCCCACTTTCACAGTGCAATGGTCTGAATGTTTTTGTCCCCCGCTAAATGTATATGTTGAGATCTGAATCCCCAAGGTGATGGTGTTAGGAGGTGATTAGTCCATGAGGGTGCAGTCATGATGGATGGTCCCCTTATATATGAGGCCCCAGAGACCTCCCTCGCCCCTTCCACCATGCGAGGACACAGTGAAAGGGTGGCTGCCTATGATCCGGGAAGCCAGCCCCCACCAGACACCAGGGTTCAGCCATAGTGGCAGGTTAATCATGGACTTCCGGCCTCCAGAACTGTGAGAAACAAACTTCTATGTTTTATAAGATACCCTGTGTATAATATTTTGTTATAAGCGTCCAAATGGAATAAAACATAGAGTGTGTGCTACTTAATTGCAGCCCCCTAGGTTCCTGTGGAATACTGTTCTTTGGGAGACTAAACCTGTGTATTTATTCATAGGCCTCTGGGCCAGGATTGGATGTTTCTGTCCCCTCTCTTGCAGGAACCCCCTAGTTTGACCAGGGTGGCCTCCAACTTGGAGGGAGTGACTGCTGTAGGCAGCTCTGCCTGCCGATTCATGGTTTCAGGCTCAAGTGCTGCATGGCAGGCTGGGGCCTCTGGCAGCAGTGGAGGACATTTGGGTGAAAGAGAAGGAAACTTCCCTGCTGGGTGAGGAGCTAGATTTTGTCTCTAGGTAAATTCTGGGCAGTGGGAGTGGAGCCCCTGCATACCTGCCCTGAATGTCCTTCTGCTGGGGGCCAGAGGGCCATGTGGGAACTATAATCCCATCTGGGGACTTTCCACACTCGGAGGTGTGGCTACCATCCCCAGGTCTCCCAGTTCACCTGCAGCCTGTGTGGCCAAATGCAAACCCTGAGGCAAGGAAGTTGAGTGCAGAGCTGAAGTCCTCCTCCAGGTGCTCTGTGCAGAAGCCTGTCGGGAAGCAGGGGGCTGAGCTCAGCTTTAGTGCAGCAGGGTTGGGACAGGCTTGCCAGGGACCAAGGAGGGAAAAGGCTGTGGGGAGAGGGAAGGGGAGAGATGGACCCTGAACCTGCTTTTGAAGTAGCCCCTGGGAGGGAGGGTTTTTCTTGCCAGCCAGTCAGGATCTTGCAGGAGGAGACACAACACCTGCAGACCTATTGCTGCCGGAGTCCCACAGGACCCCTTTGAGAAAGGGGAAAGGGATCAGTCAGGAGCCATTTTGCAAATGAGGAGACTGAGGCCTGCAGCCGCTGCCTCTCATCTGTGGTCACAGACGTGGGGGCCTGGAGACAGTAAATGCCTGGATAGAGCCTTGGCAAGCAGGGCTAGTCATGGGGACCAAGGGACAAAGGCTCAGGGCTGGGGTGCACATGGTGAATGTGAGGAGATCCACATACTGTGGTATTGCAGGATTACAGGTTGTTAAATCAGAGGCTCAACCCCAGGACGCCACCCCTTGTCACTCTGGGTGAAGTCCATGTCCCTGTCTTCCTCCTTGTAGGGACCCTTCTTCCCTCCCTCTGTGACCCTTGTTACCATTTGTTGTTACAGGTTGTTATAAGTGTATCATTATTGTGTTGTATAATCCTACCTCATTCCCCGCCCCCACCACCACACACACACACACACACACACACGCACAATTTTTATTCTGGGAGCTCAGGAGCAATATTAATTTCCACTGCACACGTCAGGCAAGCGTAATGCTGGGGACAGGAGATGTTCCATAAATGTTGCATGAATGAATGAATGAATGAAAACTTGGCTGGACCATGGCTTGTAGCAATGGCTTGTGCACTTCACTCAAGACTTTTGACTTGATCCTTTGGGCAGTGCAGTTGGAGGAGGGTGATCTGATCATATCGGTGGTCAGAAAGTCTGGTCTAAAGATGAGTAGAGGACAGCCTCTGTGTGTGTGTGTGCCTGCGGTGTGCATAGGGGCAGCAGGCTGCACAGTGGGGATGGGAAGGAGGTGAGGGACCTTGTCACTGCAGACAGAGAGCCAAGAGACTCAGACCATGTGTGGCCCGTACAGGTGCTAGGAGGAGGGAGATTGTTCTGGGAGCATGGTTCCTCATGCCCTTCTCTCTCCCTCTTGAGTCTTTGTGGGGGGCTCCCCTAATGGGCATCCCTGCGTGCTCAGATGGTGGTGGCTGCTGCTTGTTGATTACAGTTTGAAAAGCTGTACTTAGTCCCAAGCTGCCACACACCGCTGAAATTCAGTGTTCCTCTAATGGGGTTTCTGTTAGAATGTTGGAAAGAAGAAAGCCTTTTAACTAGATTGGTAGTAATTGAGCTCCCAAACCACAGAAGCCTTTCTCTCAGCAGATGAAGACACAAATGCAATTAAAAGAAGGAAAGGCACCTCAATGGAACCCTTTCTAATTTTAAGTCCATTAAAAACAACAACTCCTTAATAAGTTGAGGTAACAGATATACATTCTGAAGAGTTTAACAACACTTCCCAATAATATTGGAGATTGAACTGGAACTGGAGTGCTCCAGCTACTTAAATGGATAGCTCTGTTGGGGATCATTTGCTCAGTGCAGAGTACAGAGACATGTTAGCTCTACAACTTTTCCCACCGAAAACTCCTGGCACATTTTATTAGGAAAATGGGATATATTTTTTCCTGTAACTGAATCAATGTTCAGCGTCTTGTGGCCATTGCCCCTGGCCTGGGGTCCCCTGAGACATCATCCCATGTCCCTCCCTAGGCAGCCCTCTCCTCTCTGTGGGATTTGCCCCACCTGGCCCATCTCACCGTAGAGGTGCCCAACATGTGAGCGACTGGGCTGGGGCACTGATGCATCAGAGTGTCCCTGCCAGCTGCTTACCTGCTCAACGCATTTTCATTTTAATGAGAGGCAGCACTTTTTTCATCTGCATCCCTGCCCACTGACACGCCCCAGCAGATGCCACGTTCTTTCTGCCTTTGGGTCTTTTTTTTTTTTTTTTTGGAAACTGCCCATCGCTGAACCAGGCCAAGTAGATTCTGTTGCAGGAGCTTGAGGTTTCAGCTCCTGTTCACATCTTCACAGGGGCATTAATTAATATTTTCTCTGGAGAGGGTGTCAACTGCTAATGCACAGAGCCCTTTGGGTTGGAGTTATTTCATACTGAATCACAACATTCACAGTATAACTATTGTACAGAATTCACTCATTTGCCTCCTTTCACGTTGTTTTATGCTGAGCCATATCGGGCTTGGTCAGCCATACTAAAATGCAAGTTGCCTTCCATTTGGAAAGGCCGGTCTTGACGGGTCTCTTCTCTATACGTCCTGTGCTGGAGCAAAGTCACAGCTGGTACACTATCCAAGCTCCCTGGTTAGCACGTAGGCTTAGCTGGAGGCAGAACTCAGGGAGGTGTTTTGGAAATGTAGGAAAATAGGCTCTGGAGTCCGAGAGATCCAAGTTTGAATGGCTGCTTCTAAAGTCACCTCATCTTTCTCACCTTTAGTTTACTCACCTAGGTAGGCTTTACCTTCAGGTGTATTTCAAAGCCTGATGTTCCCCCTAGAAGTTAGAGGATGAGAGAGAAGTCCAGATCTGCAGGGACAAGTCAGAGTCACGGCCCACATGGCACCACCCACACAGGGTGCAGCAGCTCCACACAGGGCCATGGCCCCTTTCCTGGGGGAGGGAGGCATAGCATATTTGTATTTGTTTAAAACTGTATATATTTTGGAAATAAACCTGACTTTAAAAACTTGGATTTTCACCTACTTTTATGGTTTTTTTTAGTCTGTGAATTATTTAAAAATACAAAGATAAATAGCTAAATCATTAGCAGGCATCATTTCTGGATGGTAAGGTTGCAGAGTTTTAATTTTCTTCTTTATACTTTTCCATCTTTTTAAAATGCTGTATAATAAATGTGTCTTACTTTGGAATAAATAGAAAAGCTTAACTCTGGGGAAATGCTGCTTGCATATATTGGAAGTGCTTGGTGCATTCTAATTTCCACACATAACGATCTCAACAGTCAGATCCCCACGTGAATAATTGTCTCATTCTTTCTTTTGTAAACCATATCATATTTATGCTGCTGCTTTTTTTTTTTTTTTTTTTTTTTAAGGATGAGAAGAACCAAGTTTTAACCACCAACATTTGGCTGCAAATGGTAAGTTAAGAGAATGACAATCTCGCCCATGGGCCTGCAAGATCTTGCACCCAAGATTTTTGTCCTGATACCTGAGATGCTTGCTTCTGAGAGGTCTTGTTTAGAAAAAAAAAACATAACCATGGCTGTCACACCAACTCCACACCTGCCAACAATGAATGTTGGGTGTATGACACTACAGTCTGCAGTGCTCAACACATGCACAAGCTCAGCACGTAGGACGGGGTAATGTGGGGACACTTCAGAAGCACTTCAGGCAAGACAAGTAAGAAGATACAGGGCTGCATGTAGATGTCCACAACCTGCACCACAGCCAGTCCCCAGGACTTAGGAGTTCCAGCCCTGCCCTCTGTGGCCTCCAGAGCTGCATGTTTGAATCAGGTGGAGTGTTCCTAAACCAGAGGCCCTCGTACTCTGCTCTAGTGATGCTTGTAAGAATCTTGAAATGCTGCCTATCATTTGTAGATTTTTAACTTGACATCTGCAATACTAACCTAAATTAAATTAATTGCAAATGATGCCACTTGACATCCAATTGTAAATATTGACACTGAAAAATGGAACGGTCAGTCTCTATGTTAAATGGAATCAAAATAGCATAATAATTTGGTGCCCATCTCATTCAAACACCATATGAACAAGCCTTTTTTAAAACTGTCAGATATTTAACATAGTCCCATTTTTTCTTTGCAAATGCATTTCTATTCTGCTTTCTATAGGAAATTTTATCCTAATGTAATATAGTTTTATGTTTGAAAGTCTCTCTCTTTTTTTTTTTTTTTTTTTTTTTTTGAGACAGAGTCTTGTTCTGTCATCCAGGCTGGAGTGCAGTACAGTGGCGCAATCTTGGCTTACTGCAACCTCTGCCTCCCAGGTTCAAGTGATTCTCCTGCCTCAGCCTCCCAAGTAGCTGGAATTACAGGCATGCACCACCGCGCCCGGCTAGTTTTTGTATTTTTTAGTAGAGACAGGGTTTCTTCATGTTGGCCAGGCTGGTCTTGAACTCCTGACTTCAGGTGATCCACCCACCTCGGCCTCCCAAAGTGCTGGGATTACAGGCATGAGCCACCACACAGGGCCAAAAGTCTTTTATTAATCACTGTGCCTTGGTTTCTTCAAATGTAAATATTTACACAAGAATTATTCCTTTACACCATAAGTATTAAATTTTGTTTCTTTTGGATTGATTTAAGTTTGCTGTTGTTATTGGTATTATAATTCATCAAAATGACATAAATTAAATTTTTAAGTAATTATAAAACATAAATTTTTATTGGCAATTTATATCTGCCCAAGATGAGTTTGTTTTAAATTAGTTCATGTATCCCCAGATGACTTATTATTACTTGAATGGAGAAATGATAGTTTTCACATCAATTCTGTTGCTGTTTTTTAACTAGGTGTAGTAACATGAGTAGTTGGACATGAAAGCCACTTTGTTAAAGCAATGTTACTCAATCTTTGAACTTCTAGATTATATGCCAAAAATAATGTAGTTTTCATCAAATGTATCAGCTGACAGCTTGATTAGTTTCTCCTTCAGTTTTGTTGAAAACAAAGAATTAAAAGAATTAAAACCCACCGGACCTTTGAAAGTGTTTGCCACCCAATTTGTAAGGTAATTCACACAGACACAGAGGCTGATACTTGAATCGATCCTTTGTTTGGTTCTTGGGTCAGTGTCCCAAGATGGGAGTTGAGGTAAGATAAGAGAAATGTGCCCCTCTTTGTCAAGTGGAAAGGGAGAAGTAAAAATGGAGGCAGAGGATAGTCTCATGTGGTTCTTGGGCAGGTGAGTTATCCTGCAAATACATGTGGAGTTGAGGAATAGAAAATGGATCTGCATCCAGCCTGGCCAACATGGTGAAACCCTGTCTCTACTAAAAATACAAAACTTAGCCAGGTGTGGTGGTGCACACCTGTAATCCCAGCTACTCAGGAGGCTGAGGCAGGAGAATCTCTTGAACCCAGAAGGCGGAGGTTGCAGTGAACTGAGATTGCACCACTGCACTCCAGCCTGGGGAACAGAGCAAGACTCAGTCTCAAAAAAAGAAAAGAAAAGAAAAGAAAATGAATCTGCTTAAAGCCATTGCTAGGAGTACAAGGTGCACCCATAGCTACATGTGAGACCCCTGCAGAACCTAACATTAGTCAGGTGAGCGCCCTTGAGAGACTCCCCTGCAGGATTTAAAGCAGCATACTTCAGTGAGCGCATCCCTGCCCTTGCCTGTGCCACCTACTCTAGCTTCCCTCCTTTTGCGCAGGACACACATGATCTGTGCTCTCCTGGAAGGCCCAGCCCTTCTTCCCATGGACAGGCTCATCTCCTGGCCCCTGCTGAGAGCCCGGCATTAATGATTGTCCTCGCTGCCCATAGCATCAAAATAGTGTCCGTGGGTCATTCTCGCTTTTGTCCCTCCCCACAGACTTTTCATTTGAATAAATGTTAAAGCCATGGATCCATTGGCTCAAACCAAAAACCTTTAACTCTTGTCTCACACATCTCACCTCTGATACATCAACAAATCCTGGCAGCTTGACATGCAAAACCGATCCAGGATCTAACTACAGCTTCAGCCATGATACTTTCACCCTGGTCTACATGGGCGTCATCTCTCACCTCCATTATTAGGAGTCCCCATCCAGCCTTCCGCTTCAGTGTTGCCTCTTCTGGTGGTGTCTGTCCTCAACATAGCAGCCGGCATATAGCTTCTTGGCACAGCTCCCTCCAGGGGCTCCTGTCCTGGACAGCATAGGAACTGAAGTTCTTAAAGTGGCCTTGGATTCAATTCCCTCCCTGCCTGGCTCCTTTTTCCTCTCCCCTCCCCTCTATCCTTTGCTTCCTGGCTGCGCTCACTGCCCACTTGTTGGGTGACACACATGTCACCCGAGCACATGCCCCCCTCAGGGCCTTTGCACTGGCTACTTTCCCTGCCAGGAAGACTCGTCCCTAAGAACCACTTGATTTCCCCCCTTACTTCTCACTGGTCTCTTCCTAAAGGTCACCTCTTCATTGAGGTCTTCCCTGAGCTCCAATGTACTGTCCCAAACCCTCCCCTCCACCTCCAGCCCACTGTGTTCTCTTTATCCTGTTATATTTTTCTCCCAAAGGCTTCTCACCATCTAACCCACTTTGTGGTCACTTGTCTATCTGCTCATTGGTTCTGAGTCTTCCTCACCGTTAGAATGTGTGCGCGGTGAGGACAGCGCTCCAGGTGCCTTCAGTCACTGCTGTACCCACAGCCCCAAGCTTACTGTCTCACCTGTAGACAGTAAGCCAAAGAACTTTTGCTGAATGAGAGAATGAAGCAGAAACTCAGGGTGAACCTCGAGGTGCTTAGGTAGTGTGACACAACATAAAGCCATCTCCTGAACAGCCGTGCCCCACTTTCATACTGTGTGTGCAAGGTCAGGCTTCGGGGAATGAGGCAGGTGCTTCCCTCTTTAATTAAAGTTGGACATTTGCCATGCCCTCTCAGGAACAACGCTGTTATTGACCTTTTTCTTACAAAGAGAAATGCATGTTATGGAGAGGTCTCTCTCTCTGGCGCCTATCTTCCTTAGCCCTCAGTAAGTGACTGGTCTTCAGCAATGTATATGATTTGGCAATTTTATTTAAAGGATGGTGGTTTCCAAGAAAAATGTAACTGGATTATTACTTCCAGTATTGAATTCAGATGCTCCATAAATAAACATCCTTGCTTCAGAGGGTGTCACCAGAGACCTCTAAATTTATTTCAAGAACAGCTAATTTTTAATTAAGGCTTACATTTGCAGAAGCATCTGCAGCTTCATTTGTTTGAAAACTCAACTTTTAACTCACCTCCTCTTTTGAAGCAATCTACTCTGTGGAAGGTATTAAACTGGGCCAGGTGAGGGAACCTAGAAATATATAACCTAGTTTCTACCTTTAAGCCATTTATGATCAGGCTGTGTAATTAACATGTTTAGAAGAAGGAGGCAGAGGAGAAGAAGAAGGAAAAGAGCAGGAGGAAAAAGGAGAAGGATGAAAGGAGGAGGAAAAGAGGAGGAAGAAAAAAGGAGGAAAAGAGGAGGAAGAAAAAAGGAGGAAAAGAGGAGGAGAAGGAGGAGGAAAAATGGAGTAGGAGGTGGAGGAAAAATGGAGGTGGTGGAGGAGGAGGAGGAAAAACGCAGGAGGAGAAGGAAAAGAAGAGGAGGAAGAGGAGGATCTAGCAGTTGTAACACTGCCTCCCAACTGAATTTTTAAGGGCTCATAAGAATCCTGGGTTTAAAACAAACCTTAACAGTCAACGTGCCAATGCCTGTGTCTCTCTGCCCCCGCCCCCACCCAGTGTTTCAGTCTGGAAGCCCTGGCATTCCTGTTCATACCCACAGCGTGGACATGAGGAAGGGGCCACTTCTAAGCAACCTTCCATTGATTGCTGTTCTTGTGTTCCCTGGCTGGGGACCAACCTGACTTGACCCAGCACAATAATGGACACGCGCAAGTGAAGCTGGATACTGAAGGCTGTCAGGGCCAGGGTTCTGAGGGGGGTGCAAATATGGGCCAGGGGCGGAGACCCACAAAAACGGCTCTAGCAATGGATTTTTCTCCTCCCGAGTTTCATGTTGCTGAATTCCTGTCCTGAAAATCTGAATCCACGTAATCTTTTCTCTAGGGTATTTAAACTCTGCAAATGATACATTTTCTATGCATTAAAAATGGAAAAGGCAGAAAAGTTAAAAAATGAAAAATCTCTCCCTGACCTCCAGTTGGTTGGTTTTCTTCTTCTTTCTCCCAGTTGCCCTTGATTTTGATCATTCAGAAACGTGAGGGAGTAGAAGGAGGCTTGGCCTCTCTGTTCACCTCTTCATGTTCCTAGGAGGAAGCAGCCGGCTCCTCTGCAGCCGGTTTTCTCTGCAGATTAGTTTTTATCATTTTGGGAGGCTTGTCAGATGTAATCTGATTTAATCTATGAGAAGAAATGACAGAGGCCATTTCAGTTTCTGAAGAGACATTTGAACCATCCAGAGACTTA